CAGAGCTATGCCAAGAAAGGACACGTGAAGAGGGGGCAGACAGGTGCCAGGCAGCTCATCACCACAGCAGCAGCCAGGACAGAAGCAGGGCCGTGATTCTCAATCACAGCCCCAGAGAGAGGCCCTGCCGACACCTTAACTTCAGACTGTAACCTCCAGAACTGTAAAAGGACAAATTTCTGTTATCTTAAGCTACCCAGTCTGTGGTCATTCGTTACTGCTGCCCTCAGAAACCAGCAGTCACCCACTGGCATTCTGAACTGTAGAAATACCTCTGAATTCTGTTTCCCTAAAGATACTGCTCATGGTTCCTCCTTCCCCACCTCCTTCACCTGGCTTATCCACATCTCTCCTGCAGGAATCAGCTCAGTGACACTTCCCTCAGAAACCTTGGCCCCATCCCCTCCTACCAGGAGAGGTTGGGGGACAACCCTCCCCCCCACCATTGTGCTGGATAGTACCCCAAGTATGTGCTCACCTACCACACCACACAGTATTATCTGACAGTTAATACCATTCTCTGCTGGGAAGGTTCCATGCTTTTCTCTGTGCTCCCAGCCCTTAAAAGACACTTTCTATCTGTCACAGGAAGTGATGGTGAGCAGGTTTGCATGCCAGAGGAAAATGTTTTATTCTGCTTTATGTCTCTACCACTCTCCAGCTGTGTGACCGGAGTCAAGCTACTTAATCTATTTCAGTTTGCTTCTCTGTAAAGTGGGATAATGATAGTTCCTGCTTTATACAAGAGTGGTGAAAATTAAATGTGTTAATGTATGTAAAGCATTTAGAACTTAAGTGGGAAGCGCCTGATAAGTGCCAGTTACTATTATTACTTTGCCCCAGAACAGCACTGTGCTGGCTCTGGACCTACAATGGATTCCATGCCTAAAAATAAGACACATGTCAGGGTGTTTGGAAAAAGCCTTGGAATAGGACTTAGAGAATCAGACATGGTCTCAAGTCAGGTCTACCCCATTTGGGTACTTCTCTGGGACTTATTCCCAGCTTTGCAATAAGTAGTGACTAAATTAGGTTGAGCCCTAGAACAAAAGATCCAGGATGCTGGTGAGGAAGTGAAGGGGGTTGGGAGTGGTTTCTCCAGCTATGCTGCATGTTAAGACCTATGGGAAATCATATAAACATTTTAGGAATGATAAGCCTAATCACACTAGCCAAATGTCAGCTTTCTCCACTTAGAAGGAATTATATGCACTCCGAGTAAAAACACTATTTACTTAATACGAACTTGAGATTTGGCTTGGAAGTTACTTATCTTCACAGAATAAAAATAAAAGTAAACCTAAATCACCTTTTTACTTAAAAGCGCTGCTTCCCAAACAATTATTTTTCAAAGCATGAGATCGATGGGTGAGATGGTAATAACAAAGGCCACTGGTGAAAAACTAAGATGCTCAATGTACTGAATGATATCTCAAATCCTTTTTGACTCTAATGCTCCTGGGATTACTGAAAATTTCTCTAAGGCAATCAACTATAACAATTTATTTCCCATTTAATTTTACTCAGGAGCCTCAAGGGGAAAATGTCTTCCTCTAAAATTTTAGGGGGAAAAAAATTAGAAGTTCCAAATGAGGGCTCTAAAAAGTAAAACACATGAAGGGGAAATTTTAAAAACTGGCAATGCCAGGATGTGAGGCAGAAATGAACTTAATTTTTCAAATAAAAGCAACAAAAAGGCCAACTGACTTTGATCGGAAATAAAAGTACACTCTAGGGAATAATAATTGACATGTCCGCTCCTTGGTAAGGGTAAGTAAATGTGAAGTTGCTGTGTATTCCCAGAGGGTGAAGGGAGAGGAGGGGAGGAGAGCTGCCATTACTCATCAGTCCCATCAGTTTTAGGGATCACGGTGGGCCCAAGGTTCATGTGTGATCAGGGAGTGCAAAATCAGGAACCAATTTTCTCCGTTTTCAGAATCCACTCATTTGTTGGGGTTCTCAGAGCATTCAGGACACTCCGTCATCAGCAAGCCTGGGATGCCAGCCTGTTACAGCCGCCTGGAAGCAGGGCAGGTGGGTGGATGGGCAGGAATAGAAGGGCAATAAAGTGCTAAGTCCTTCCAAGAACACAGGGAGTTTGTGGAGAAAGGATCAATAATAGTAATGCACACAGTTTGAAAGCAAATGCTAAATAAATGTGTTATCTCCATTGGGGCTTATGATAGCCCTACAATTAGATATTATTATCTACTACTATCCCTATTTTTTAACTCCATTGAAATAAATGAAAACCAACCAAAGAAGGTAAGGAAATTGCTTAGTGTTTGCTACAGTAAGGAATTCAGTCATATCACTCACACTTGAGAAGACTCACTGGCAGGTGGAACTTTACAGGGGGAAACAGAGGAATTCCCTCAGATTGTTGCTGTAGGGAAGCTGCAGGTGGACCAACTGGCAGCGATATCCTCTATCAATGGCCAGGGTGCACATTCAGTTGCTAGGTTGTTTCTAACTTGGAAGCAGGAGCAAATGGTAGAGAAATTATCAGTTCCTAATCAAATTCTAGTCATTTGGGGCCTACTGTTATAAGAGTTATTGTGTGGCTTCCTGGATTGTTATGGAGATAGAAGTCTGATTGCCTGTATGTCTGATTTATTTTCCTGGTTTCCTGGGTTGTTACTATAAAATAATGGACTGCTTTTCTGAGCTGACTGTCAGTTGTAACTTAAAGTTTTATTTTACATATGGCCTGGCTGTTGTCCATGAGATCTCTAGGTGTGAGGCCAGAAAAGAAAGTTGGTCTCAACAATCATCAGCATCAGCTATCAATCCTGAAGAGGGACTGGAGGTAACTTTTGTATTATATCCAATATATCAAAACACCCAATGGAAATTATGGGTCACTATAGGGCCAGTTGTCTCTTTCAACAAGATTATGTTGCTTTTCCTGTTTACTATTTTCTTATAATTAATAAGGTATAGGAAATGACTAAATAAATAAATCATTAGTAAATCAAAGTTTGTAAAACCCAGGATATGTCATAGGGAAAAGTTTTCAAAAGGATCTTTGGTAAAGAATCCTGGCAAGTACTTCTTACTCTAAAATAAAAAAAAAAAAAATCTTCCCCTCCATAAACTGTTATCAAGGTCACTGGTAAAACTGGGATCCAAATGGGATCAACCACATATATGACAACAGCTGGAGCCCCAGTGACCACTGTATTTGCTCTGCTGAGCCTTTCCCTAGGGGCTCAAATACGTGGACCACTCAAGATTAGAATGTGAGTGGACAAAAAAAAAATCTGTGTTCTAAGAGCCAATTTTCAAGTGTTCATGAATCTCCTTGCTTCTGACTATTAGGATAAGGCACCATTAAATAAAGGATCCAGACACGCTTCCTGGATCATTTCCAGGGGGAATAAACAAAGTCTTTCTCTCTGCTAATAGATACCTAACGGAAACAGGGCCCCAGAATCACTACAGGATGCTGAGGTTACTTAAAGATGGCGTGGGTCATCTCTCCGGTGATTTAATAAGTCCTGATCATAGAAATGCACTGAAAACTGCCCTGCCCTATCTCACTCCCACCACCACCCTCTGGAGCAGTACTTTTAGGCCTGAAACACCAGCTCAAATGCCAACTCTTCAGTAACATCTTCCCTAATCCGTTCACCCTGGCATGACACACTTTGCCCTTTGACTCCATGAGATTTTGTGCAGATGTTCACAAACACCTACACTGGTGTGACAGCTATTTTTATCCCATGCTAGCTTCCCTCCCTGCTAGTTGTTTAAGGCAAGTCTGTCTTCTATACCCTTGTTTCCTCAGTGCATGGCATGTACTCATTGCCCAGCATTTTAAGTCATACCCACAAAATTCTACTTTTATTGAAGACACTGTGGTTCAATGAGAACAATTATTTATCTTCAATTATTTGTCTGCCAGCTAAGAACCGGCAGATTAGACTCAGCCTCACTTCATAGCAGTTGGTAAAGTTTTCGTGACATCTTTGCCTTGCTTCTTCACCAAGACACTAAAGAAAACCCCAAAGTGCTCCAGAGTAGCCTGCACATGAGCAGCTCATTTGGGGGAACCTAAGGAGCACACTTGGGGCTCAATAACAACCCCAACTCACACTCACTACCTGTGGTCACATGTCGTCCTCTTGTTCTTTTTTATCGATGTAGAATATACAAGTACAATTTAATCATGTTTCTTTAATGATTTATATATTAATTTTTAATAAGAAGACTAGTTTCTAAATGGGAGCAAAATAAAACCAGGATGATAAACATCTGTGGTAGCATGAGGTGTGTAATTCTATGCCTGCAGCTTCCTGAGAATTCAAAGGGAGAAGGATTTCTGTTTAATCCACAGTGTTTATCCAGGAGGGCCTCTACAATAGATGGATATGAATATTCCACTCATTAGGAAAAGTAACCCTTGCTGGGAGGAAGGAATATTTATTTCATCAGTCTTTGCTTGGCTGAAATAAACCCTTTGCTCTGACTTTACACCCTCAAAGCAAATTTCTAACTGTCATTTGTCTTTCCAAGTAAATATTCCCTCTGGGAGAGGGGGTACAGATCAAAAACCCAAGTATTTTCATTTGCAAGTTGTGCAGAGTCTTCATTATAAGGAATAAATTGGTATTCTGCTTTATACACCAAAGAAAAAATGAAATATCTAAAATGCAAAGCATCTGATATTCCTGACAGGTTTGCCCTCAGGTCCTGGCTTCTACTCTCCATCTCTAATGGCTCTTGCCTCCCCTCCTTCAGCCTCTCTGTGTCCCAGAACCTCACACATTTTTCTCTACATGATCTCAGTGCAACAGCATCAAAAAACCTCCACTGCTAGACTGGTAAGCCCAGTCAGGAAGAAAAAAAATAGACTTGTTTACACTTAATATTTCCTGTAATATTTAATGAGAAAAAACTTGTACTCCTTTCACTTTTGAGCTAAGTCAGACATGACTACTATTCCTAGACCCTCAAAGCTCTTTGCTAACAGAACACACAGGATGGTAGATACTCACATTTTCTGACCGGAGCCTCTTGGCAGGACACCCACCGTCCCGGGGGTGAAGCATGTAATACAGTCGGACTTTGCTTGCATGTTTTCGACTCTGGAAAGGAAAAGCAAAAGCAGATACTGTGAAAGAAAAGACCATTTAAATCCTTAAACAATTTAAATCATTAGCTAGTGACAGCAAATGCAAAACACTTTCCGTAGAAAACCCTTTCACAGGCTTCCAGAAGTTCTGCAGGATGGTTTCAGTTAGAGAAAGTGACTTACCCAAGGTCTTTAGGTCAATATAATTTCAGGATTAGAAAACACGGTTAAATAACAAATATAAAAGCATTGGGATCTTTCAGTGTGAAGTGGATATTAAATTTCATGGTCCTCAAAAATAAGAATAGGTCAGCAGAGGGAATAATATGAAGATCAACTGTGATGAAAAGCCAGGTCACTTGCCTTCCCTCTTGTTCCTGCCCTGCCCTGCTCTGCGAGCTGGAGACAATACCCCCTTGGGAACTGGGCACACACAGCACCTCCAAAGAAGCCTTTCTACAGCACTCCATGCCTGAGCCTCATTAAAAAGCTACCAAAAGAAATTTTTCAACTATCATGAGCAAACAAAAACTATTGCATGTGAGTCTGAGGACAAATCAAATTCCAACTAAGCAAGTAAGCAGGCTGGTGAGCCAATGAAACCCAACCCCTATAGGATTAACAAGACCACAGTGTCTGCCTACACTGACTAGCCCACTCGCAGCTGGCTGGATGGATCCCTCCTGAGCTCTACCTCTCTACTCCTTTGCTATGATGAACCGAGACGCCACCCCTCATCTGTGAAAGAATACGTCAGCTCTAACTTCCAAGTTAGTACCTGAATGACAGATAGAATGGCAAGTGAAAAGACACTGATGAATAGAAGTTTGGAACCCTGGTTCCAGCTCTCTAATTTTCTAGCTGTGTGATACCAAACAAGGTACACTAATTTGTTTATAACCAAATGTGTTTCATTTTCTCCATGTATAAAATGGACATTGGAGTATTTAGTAGGATTACCAGCAAAATCAAATGAGGTAGTACCTACTGCAATCAATATCATGTGAAATCCTTCCTACTATTGATTGCACCAATCCTTAATTTTGGTTCAAATATGGTCTCTATTATGTGAATCCTCCTTGCATTGATTGCCACCTAATTCCAATCTCATTCCCTCCCTCCCTTGGAGACACTTTCTTTCTTTTCCAGGCTCCAATTTGCCTTGATTTAGAGCTGATTCTAGCCAGTCTCCTGGATGATGGTTTACCTTCATGGATTAGCTACAAAAGCAAAGTGATTTTCAGAAAACACAATAAATTGCATCTTGTTTACAGACTATATTGTAAATCTCTTCTGTCTGGCCTTCTTCACTCAATACTTTAATTCCTTTATTGTGCCTACAGCAAGAAACCAGATTTCTAGACAGCCACTGAACATTTTTAAAGCCTTTAAATGGTTTTAAAAGTGCTAATAGAACATGAAAAATATTTCAGATATATAAAAGGACTGAAGTGTGATTTTGAAATATATCTGCAGCCATTTCTAGGCCGCACAGTAAGTTTTAACCAAGGGTCACTTGGTGTCTTCTTTGCCTGGAAACTGGTAGGCAGAGAAATAGAGACCCTCAAGGGCCTGTCAACGTATTTTGTTCAGCTTCTGCATGCTTTGGAGAACAATGTAGCCCAATGTAGCCCAACCTATCATTTTTTTCTTTGTGCAGATAAATATACTGATTACTAAAATCTGTATACATTTTCTATAGTTTGTTGGTTTTTTGGAGGTAAAGGGTGAAATGTGGGGCAGAATAATTGTTACACTCAACAAAAAAGAAAGAAAAAGATTATTTAAAAGCCTTGCAAACACCAGCCAGAGAGCCTCGGCTGCTGAAAGCTCTACAAAGATAGGTAATTGGTGAAAAGACACACTGTTTGAACTCCAAGGTGGCTGAAATGGGTTTTCAATTTTGCATTTGTTACCATGAAGAACCTCTTATCACAGCTCCTGCAATCCGCCTAAGACTTGGTTTCCCAGAGAACAGTATCACGACAAAATTGGAAATCTCATGATGTGGTCTGTTTTTGTGGTGGTTGCAGTTTTTCTTTTTCCTGAAATATTATGGATCTTTTAAAAAAGGGTCTTGCCAGAAAAGGCAAAGTTCATTGAATTATTTAATTGCAGCTTGACAAAACTAGTAAGGACCCATTAGCTGAAAAAAAAAGGGGGAAGGAATAAATGATAAGCTCTATTATGATGTTTTAGTGATGAGAGATGTTGGGAATTGAGACTTAATCATGATTTTGTTCTTTAAGAGTCTGCTATTCTCCTCCTTCTCCAGACTCTAGTTTTGCTGGAAGAAGTACTGACTAAACTACAGTTAATGCCTTTGTCCTCCTGGTTGGGAAAAAGCAATGGCTTAGGAAAGGCCTCCCGATTATGAAGTGAAGGTGGTGGCACCCCATGTCTTCATTTACAATGTCCCTTCTGTCTAACAGCCCTTCCTACTACTTTCCCAAGGTGCCCCTGGCCAGAGCCAAGTCTTCCACGCGCACAAGCCAACACTGCCAGGCACATTTCCAGTAAAAAACCACAAAGACAGTCCACTTCTCAGTGAGGGAGGCTATTCACCCTTGCAGTTAGTCTGATTCAAACCCAAAGTCACTTCCAAATGATGTTGTTTGACAAAGGGACAGGGCTTGCCATCAAAATGTCCCTGGGCATTCTCCACCTGGTCCTGCCTCCATCCTGGAACTGCAGCATTGGGATGGCACTTTGCTAGACAGGCCTTTCCTTCCTTCTTTACAAACTCACCTTCTTCTCAGAGAGGGGCACTACCTGAGAGTGTGAAGACAGTGTCTTCCTGCCACTGGCTTCTCCTAAGCTCTCCTCTACCAGAAAGTGCTGGAAATTTGGCACAGTAATTTCACTGTTTTTCATTCATTCTTACAAATAAAACAAGGCAAAAAGGCTTCCCCACAAAAATTTAAAATTAAATTTGGATAAAGATGTTCATTGCATCATTATGTAAATAGAAACCAAAAAAAAAAAAAAAAACAAAAACAAAAACAAAGAGATAGAGAGCTAAGAAAATATGGGCGCTCCGTGGTGACACGATGGGCTAAAACAAAGCACTATGAAGCCATAGCAGCCACTGCAGTTTGATCCCTGGCCAGGGTGGGTGATCCACATGATGCAGCAGACCTCTCCTGGACCACCCGCTGCTCCCCTCAGCAGTGTACTTGGTCAGTTGGCTTGTTCTGCTCCCTGCTCTGTCTCTTGTGAAACCTCTCACTCCTGCACCTCTGCCTGTACCCCAGTTCTGTATGTATAAATAAATATATCTTTAAAAAAAAGAAAGAAAGTCCCTGCTACCCTGCTACATGTTTGACAACAGGAGACTGGGTAAAGCAGTCTTATTGGACATTTGGGGAAAAAAATCACTTTCTAAGTAATGAATGTTGAATTAAAAATGCTAAATTTGGGCCCTCCCTGGTGGCACAGAGGTTTAGTTAAAGCACAGCACTGAGAAGCTAAAGCCATTTCAACATGAGTTCGAAACCCACCCAGGAGGTGACCCACATGCCATCTACTCTTGCTAATGTATTATCAACTTTCAAACTACACACTTTCATCATTGTAATACATGTTAAAGAGACGAGCCTGCTTAACCTAAGAGTAAAACATGTTACTTTGAAGTTCAAAAATTTAATTTGGTCTAGACAAATCCCATGTTAGATGTGGACACTTTTGCTTATTGTATCAAGACTATGGGGTCTTCTGGCGAATACTGGCAAATACACAACTAAACTGAAAAGAAAGCCTGGAAGAGAAACTATTTCTGAAACTGGCTTATGTCACCCAAATAAAAGCAATAACAGCAAACGCCCGTGAATTTTTCAAAGATGTATAATGCCAAAAATTTGCACCGGTTTCAAGACAAACTGTCAACTGAAAGGGGCATTAAGGAAGAAAAAGAAATATTGCTACTACTCTATGTGCTAGATGTATATAGCACAGAGTTTCAGGAGGGAAAAAGACCATTCCTCTCAGGGGAGAGACATGAAAAAGACATTACAATCTCTTTCAATTGCACTCAGAGCCAATTCCAGACTTTTTCTTGCATTAATATTTGCATTTTAAGCAAAAGTCATTCTTTTCATTCAAACCACATCAACTTTAAGCTTCCCAGATAGGCCAGAAATTACCAACTCTTCCATTTTAATTAAAACCCTTGCCCCCAGTGCTGGGCATTGTGTGGGGTCAGAGCTATCTGCAGATTACTTTCTTTTGCCGAAACAAATCTCTTGGCACTCAGATAAATGGTCTAAAGCAGAAATTCGGGCCAGTTCTTTTCTTTGGGGGGATAAAGAACTAGACAAACCTCTATTTCAGATTTACTGCTGTGGAAGAAGGGGACAAAGCCCATGGACACAGAATGGCTTTGTGCTTCACCCAAATAGCCATCTTCCATTATCACATACTGCTTTAAAATAATTCACAACTCAAATTTGCTTCTAACAAAGCTACCGAGTTCTGGTATCGTGGAGATAACAAAACAACTTTGTATTTGCATAAAGCTCTACATAGTCTTAAAAGTCCTTTCACATTTATCATCTCATTTTATCCTCAAATCACAGTTGTGAGGCTGGCAGAAGAGGTGTTATTTCAAATAAACTTTAAGATCCCTTCCTGATTTCCTAGTTAATTCTTCACCCCTTAATTCTTCATAGCTAAATAATTATATTGTTTCCAGAAACCAGTATGAATATGACAAATGGAAAAAAACTGTTACAGAACAGCGATTCTCATGAGCCACCAAACTTGAGGGTAAAGCAGAGTAAATCAGGGTGAAGAATGTGCTCCAAGGCTCTAACTCCTTCAAGGAGCCCACAGATGACTGGCTGCAGTGAGACAGGAGTCCATCTCTCAGGAAGGAGAGGTGGTATCCTGAGAGGCTCTCACTGACATTCCAAAGTCGAGGGTTCTAGAACTGAGCCCTGGAAAAGTTGCAGCATTCTTCATTAGGAAGTCAAAATACATAAAGCCCAAAGAGAACTCACAAGTGTAAGAGATGCG